TGAGGATCCCCATTTTGGTAATTTAATTGAATTCCCTCTGAAGATCAATTAGTCCAATATTGGCAACAAGTCCAGTTAATAAATTTCTTCTCGCCAATATGGCGAACTCTGTGATATAAATGGCATGTAATAGAGTATTATTCATCCATAAAGGAATAATGTCGCCTATATTTCGACTTACCGAAACTTATAAAATTACTTACTAGCCTACCCGTTACACTAGAAATCCGAACGAATGATCGTTCTTCAAAATATTCACCATCACTGACCAAGCTTAGAATCCACCACGATCACTTAACAGCGAAGGAAGTTAAATGGAGTTACAGCAGAACCAAGACTCAAGAGACTGTTTTGGGGGATGGAGATCGTACAGCGTGCTGATCGTGACGATATCTGACATATATCCCGCTCTTCTGGGCTAGTTTATCACTCCAAATCAGATTTGAAAATTCTTAGAGAGCTGTAACCCACCTAAGCTACTATCGACTGGAATTTGTAAAAATTCGAACCCACACCCAGACCCGTAGATAAGGTTGAATCATGGGAAGGGGGCTGGATGGTTAGGTCCCCTTCCTTAAGAACCCCCCCCCCCCCCCCCCCCATCCCCTCTTGAAAACTTGAATGACTTGTTGAGTCGCAGGCCTATAGTCCCCACCCCAGCCCTGGGCTAGCTACAACCTACTCTTTCTATAGCACTAGCCGTGGAATAAATTTGTTCTTACCTTTTTAGCTGGATTCGATCCCACGGTACCTAATCGTCTAACAGACGTCGATTGTAAAGTCTGATAAAAGGGGGATAACTCTTGTTTTGGTATATTCCACCTTGACCTTCGTATATCGACCTTCACATTCACTTTAACAACATTGAAAATGTCCACCAAATTGAGCAGAGTTTTTCCAAGTTTTGGACGTTATTTTGTGAGTTATTTTGTAATTTTAGAAATTGACAGTGACCTTAGGGCTCTAAAATCTATATTGTTTTATTATCCCCATTGTATTGTGGGGAGCTTACTTAACTATAAGTGGTCTGATGTGCGAATTTCACATTTCCCTGTGTAAAAGATTTACTACAAACGTCATAACTTTGTTGTTTTCTATTAGATTTGCTGTGTGATTATTATTATTAGAAATTATGGAATTGCAAACTTATTTTTCCACGTACACACGTAAAAAGTTGCATATATTTTGTAAAGAAACTATTACTGAGACTATGACACATTTTGGTTTCCCATATTACATGATTTACTACAAACATCATGTTTTTCAGCTTCTTGATATAATTTTTTTCTTTCTTTTTCAGGTTAAAAGTCAAGTGAGACATTTTCACAGAGCTAGGCCACTATGTGCAGTAAGTACTAATATTTTGTGTGCAATATTTAATGTTTTGTATAATTTTCAAACTAGTAAGTGTTTTCCTTCAAAAAGTAGATAGCCTATGTTCTTATTTTATGACAAATTTTGATAAAGAGATTTTAGGTAAATTTTTGTACAAGTATAATGATAAGGGTTCCATAATAAAGAGAATAAAAAACTGCTTTGTTTTGAAAGGCATGGAAGGTTGGTAAAATAAACCATGTAGCTATGGCTGTACCTAATATGGAAAAAGCAGCTTCTATGTATCGGGATGTTTTAGGAGCCAAAGTTAGTGAAAAAATGGTAGGTGATTACATCTATTGCTACAACTAATAATGTAAGCCTAGCAACTGTCAGTATTATCAATTTGAAATGGATGCCAATTTTATAAAATTGAATACAACATCAACATGATTAGATATGTGGACTATCTGAAAGGATGCTCTGTTGACATATCTAAACACAAAATTAACAAGATTAGCTTAGATATTTGCAGTATGTGGACTCTCTGTTTTACTAAAAACAGTTATAGAAGTTATGACCTCCTGGTTATATTGCAAAAAGTAATGATAAAAAACAATCCGAACTACAAAACGTAACTCAAGATGCAAAATAATAATTCGGCAATGCTATGTTATCAGCAAATGAACAATTCATATAAGAAAGTAATTATTATTATTATTATTATGTTATATAGCCACAAGAAGAGCATGGTGTTTATACAGTGTTTGTTGAGTTGGGTGAAACTAAAATTGAGGTAGGTTTTCATATGGTTATAAATTTCCGAAAACAGTCTGATTTTCAACTTGTTTCACTATTAACTTTATGTTATGAACATTTCACAATATATTCTGTAATAATCACACACTTCCATTGACGGTTTTCAGGGTATGGACAGTTTCTTACTTGATAATTGCTCACTAAATGAGAAACTCAGAATTTCAGATCCATATTTACTGTGGTAGTGATGGAAATTCAGATCCATATTTACTGTGGTTGTGATGGAAATGAACACAATGATGCATACAAAATCATCAGGCATAGCTAGCTAGAAGATTTTTAAATATGTGCTAGTCATACTGACAATTTCTGATATCAGAATTCACAATAGTGCTGTAATAATTTACTGTTTGCTATGTACATTGTTACATCTCTCTTTCAGTTATTGCATCCGTTAGGTGATGAATCCCCCATACAGAATTTTCTAGATAAAAATAAAAGTGGTGGAATGCATCATATTTGTATAGAGGTGAGACAATTATCAGTAAAATATTCTTGAGGTTAGGTGTCAATATATTTTACTATAATAAATACAACTTTATCCTTGAAGTTTGTCAGCCCTGTTAGTTAGACATAAATATCTGTACAAGCAAGACAATTCTGTTAATCAAAATCTCAACCAAAGTATGGCAAAATTGAGAATAGGATTTCTAAATCTTTTAACAGATTGTTTTATTCTTTATTTTTCAGGTTGACAACATAGAAGAAGCTATAAAAGACATGAAAGCTAAAAATATCCGAACTTTGACCCCAACATCTAAAATAGGGGCTCATGGGAAGCCTGTGATATTTCTACATCCTAAGGACTGTAATGGCGTCCTGGTTGAGTTAGAAGAGGCATAGTGTAATCCTTTAAACATTTCCATCTGAAAGACCAGTCTGGGTCCAATGAATGAACTTGGAGTCTTTTTTCAAAAGTTTGTCTCTTCAAATCTCGTAAAATTCTTGGAATCTGTAATTTGTAAATTAAGAATCTGCGTAGCTTCTAAGAATCTGATTGGTCAATGTTATCACTGCAGGTCGGCCAACCCAGGCGGGCAATTTTTCAGAAATAACCACCTACCTATAACAGAACTCTTCTTCAGAAAACTTTTGAATTAGAAAACTTTGAATATGTAACAATCATATTGACTGAATGCAATGAACTGTTTGATGAATTACAGTCGAAATAATGAAATTCCAGAACATTCAGTGGAAAGATTTTTCTCTTGACTCATGGTCTTTCTCTTCTAATTTCTACTGGGGTGTCTGAGTATGATCATCAGTGAACTATCAACAAGGGAGGATAATCATTCAAGTGTAAACAATCGTTTGTTTTTTGTAACTTTATTAGTGTAATAAATAATAATATTTACATTTTTTACAAATAGCACTGTACACTGAGGTTAGAAGACAAAGATGTCAACAACAAAGTGGGACAAATCTAATAAAAATGGTTACAAATTTTTGTAGATACAAGATCCTCGAACGCATGCATAGTGTATCATTTTAGGCAGTAATACGCACCCAGAATTTAGCATCAGATCTTGGTTTATTTCAAAAGCTATTTTGATTGGTAACATTGTTTCAACATTTTTCGATTAACCAATCAATAGAGCAGTTTTCTATTTCTCCAAATGTTGTGGTAAACATGGGTTGTCCCAATAATTTTTCAAGTTTATGCAAGTTTTGATCAAGAATCTACATGTAGAATATCCCTGGTCTGGTGCCAGTTACCAGACGTGTTTGTGTCTGATGCGTGGAGTACGTCTGCACCAGATGTGGCGTAATGATTCGATTCCGTTGACGATTATCAGGCGCAGAACCTTCCGCTCGTGTAAAATAGTTCCTTTTGGCATCTTGGGATTTATTGTTGACTTTGATGTTATAGTTGCTTTTCTTCCCTGACAACCGATTGGTCACCGCGTTCACGTTATTTTCTAAACCGCCATTTTGAATTTGACCGGATGTGGTTGGATCCCAAACTTGGGCATAAATATGATCGATTTCATCGTAGTCATCGTTGAGGGTTATAAAATTATTTTCAATGTGTGAAAAATCCTCAGGGATGGGTCCGAGATTATTTGAGGGTCGAGTTTCGACAGGGAGGCTGGGTAATCGTGGTCGCTGTGTTGGTTTATTGACGGTTGGTTGGAGTTTTGGTGTTGCCTGGTTATTCTCCCAGGTAGAATGTGCTTCTTCGTCTTCTTCATCCTTCACTTTTGGTGTGGCTTTCCTCCTAAAAGTACATATTTAGATTGGCTTTGCGCTCGTCGGAATAGTGGAACACTTGGGCGCGAGAACTTGGACGTCTCTATGAATCTATAGAATTGTCAAAGGTGGTTTAAGGTAGGCTACCACGTATCTTCAATGATAAGAATGTTGAGTGCGGGGGGCGGGGAGTTGGGCATAGCAGGACCAGCCTCAGTTCTTTTCACTCCTCTTTGGAAACGCCACTGCAAACGAAGACGATTGGCACCAAGCAGTTTTGTTGTCAAGAGAGCGAAATAAGTCCGCTTCTTATGTTTAGATTTCTTTGATCGAAGGATCAACAATGAGAAGAAACCTGCTTCGCATGAGCCTTGGTTTATTGTCTCGTCATTTCATTGCATTCATTCCTTCCATACTTGAGATTCCAAATTGACCCTTCATCTTTACAACGTACGTTATAGGAATAATTCCAGTCCTTACCTAAATGTTGTACAACAGACTGTAACAGATCGTCCCAATAACCAGATGATTTCCAGTATAGATAGAGCTGATATTCCAATAAACATGGCCGACAGACCTCCCATTCTCCATAATAATCCTAACCACTGAAACAGAAAAAATAAACACATTAATAAATACTAACACTGACGATAGAGACGTTGTCAGAAACTTTAATACAACAAAGACCTTAAAACGGTCATCATTAGCAAGGATTTAGCTGAATTGTTCTTAATTTTCAATGGTTTTCAAGGTATTTATCTGATTGAATTATCGTGTTTTTGACGGGACTTTTTATCTGATAGATAAGAACAGTATGGGCATAACGAACACCAGATCCAGATTTCTCATCCATAAAGTCAGATCTTGGTTGTCATAGTAGATATAACGGATAATAGAGAATCTTACAGTAATGTCGTACTGTTCTTTATAATCTGTAAACTGAGCTTGAGTTGTATCTATATCAACCTTTACCATAGTTTCTCTGAAAAACAACAACACAAAATCTATGATGATGGCAATCCAAACATTAATTCAGTGTCTGATTATAAAGGGTTGTGGATTCTGTGGTTTCAGTAAAAAGGCGACGGAAGCACAATTTTAGACATAAAATCGTATTTTGAAAAATTTGTGTAAAACAATTTGTTTGTTGTCAATTTGAATTTTAAACTAAACTTTGATTTATTTTAACAAATAATAACATTTGGTTAAATGAAGGAAGGCATGTTTTTTTTTTTCAATTGTAATAGTTTACCTTAATTGGGCATAGTTTCTTGTTAACCCCTTAGCTGCCAAACTTCTCTCTATATGAACCTACAAAATATATTATATTGGTTATATAATTGTTTATTTAAGACCTGAAGATCGCATAACGTGAAATTCTGAGTAACAGCAACTATCTTAGGTTCTGTTTTAATATTTCTATTTAAGAGCTTTATATTTGTCACATATTTTTGCAATTTCAAGCAGGGTAGTAAAGTTAGGCTGCCCCTGTCACTAGTATTAGAACTCAAACATAATTGAGAAGCAAGTGATAGACTGGGTAATTCCTGGGTAGAGCGACTTTTAAAAGAGAGATGGCTCTGCAAGGCCAGTCACCTGTGTTGTATTTCTGTGGTAATGACAGGCAGATAGTAACGTACAATAATTACTTACCGAGTGAAATCTGGAAGGCCAATCACCTCTGGTAGATCTGATGTCATATTGTCTTTCTCTAAAATAGGGGGAAAAATCAATGAGATGATAACGCAATGAGAGGCCGTAAAATTGATTTTAAAGACGTATTTGTTGTGCTGAATAGCAAGAGTAGCGGACATCGGATATGGATATGTATGATGTAGCTCCATTAGCTGGACAAGCAATATCATAATTTCTGAAATTGGAAAAACATACATTTTACATGTATTTAAAGAGTCTTACCTGCAACGTTTCGGACAATCACAGTTCAAACGGCCTTTCTTTATCAGATACTCCATACTTCGTTTGCATACATCTTAAATATAAACACAAACAACTTCTATTAAGGAAAAATTAGTAGGACGATCAAAAAGCGAGAAAAAACGCAAAAACAACGCAAACAAAAATGAAAAAAAAAAACTAAAAACATACATGATATTAATTTAATATCGAGAAAGTAACATCTGAATATTGTACCGTTTAAAATATATAGTGATGTGTGTAATAAGTCATTTACTTACATTCATACGGTATATTATATCTACATCGAGTTTTCAGAGCAGCATCCAGAGATATTGAGCATCCACAAGTTTTTATAATATTCTTTCCTAGGCACCTTTGTAAACATGTCTGAAAATAGAAGGAAATAGTGAATATTATTATTATTATTATCATTTATTATCTATAAAGTGCAATCTCTGTACTATGGCTGCATCATGCATGCCCATCAGCTCTGTACAATACAACTAATAAAATCACCTAATAAAATGGTAAAATGTATAATAAAATCTTAAAAATTTACAAAACAAATGAAAATATGATAGAGAGTAAAGGTGAAAATGACTTCGTCATATTAAACATTGTGATAGCATAAGATCTGAACTCTGCTTCACTGTAAAAATCTTTATGATCAAATTAAATGTTAGTGTATTTATTTCTATTGTCTCAAAGTCTTTGTAAGACTATCATTACTATTCTAATAGGCCTTATAAAGGATATATATTTACGCATACAAATATTTATTCCATATACAGACAGTTGGTTGATGATTGTATGTCAGTGAGAATTACCAAATACATATACCCCTACCTGTTGGTTATGATATGGATCTGTAGTACAGCCTGTTATTCTGTGATACCTGGACACCTGATGTATTTTGAGATTGAGGTTTTCCCCTGGAGAGGTGATGAACTGAGATGTCTCGTCGTGGTTGATATTGGAATCATGTACAGACACCACAAACCCTGTTACAGGGGAGGTTACTCCAACATATTCATATGGTTCAGTATCCAACAGTAACGACAATCGTTCTGAAAAAAAGACAATATTAAGTGTCATAGAAGATACACTCCTATAGAAGCACGGATCTATAGGTAACAAGTAGAGACTCGGGGTTTCAGTATGGAAAATTAATAAATCGGTTTAAATAGAATACTTTATACTGAAAAGTATTTATGGAATTGTAGAATCATTACATCTGGAGAGATTTACAAGATAATCATATAATTTATGTATGAAATTTAATTGCTTCAGGGCAGTATTAAGATTGAGAAGTTTATTAAGGAGGCTTAGGTTACAAATACAAAGATCTGTTTCTTACAAAGTAGTAAATAAGGTGAAGTCAAGTCCAAAATTTTAACATCATAAAAACATTTCGTCAATTGGGTGATAATGCAAGATTTAAAAGTGGCTATGCTGATTGACCAAACAGACGAGTCCAAGGCTGGGACACTAAGTCGTCATTAGTTAAATTATCTATTTGGGAGCAACAAGCTCCCCCCCCAAAAAACATGTTCCTTCAGGCTACGACGTTTGTCACATCTGAACAATAACAAAATGTATCGTACTTACCGAATCCATCCATTTTGGACGAAGATTTTACTGTTACACAATTTCCTTTCTGGCTGTCAACAAATACTTTCATCTCACTGAAAGGGTGAAAAAAATTCAATAAATTAGGTCGAAAACGAACGCTAATGATAAAATGAAAACCTGATGGTTTCAATGATCTAACAAGAAGGCAGATTTTGTTGAAGTGGATGTCTGAACTTGCCACTAAAAAGTGATCCTGCTTGCGGACATGAATGTTCAAGAAAAGCAGGGAAATTTTATCGAAAACCTTGAAGAAATTTTAAAATAACATACCTTTCTAGACAATTACGACCATTTATCCAACAATGTCGCAACATCTCCGTTCGCTGATGTCCCAAACTCTGGATATCGTGTCGTGATAATCGTAAAGCATCGTATATCGAGCTCAGATCGCCTTCTAGAGCTGCATGGTACAAACTCTCCAAATCTTGATCGGTCTCTTGATTTTCATAAGCAGAAAACTCATGCTCAATCTCTGATAAAAACGATGTGAGGTTTTCTCCAAGGTTTGACTGTAAAGTTTCCCACAGGTTTGTTGTTCTTAGCATATCGGAAAGAGGCGCAGAGTTTCTGTCTGTTTGTGGTGCATTTGCGTTTACAGTCTTCGGCAACAAATTTCTCAATTTTTCAAATCTGGTTGCAGATAGTTTGGACACCTTCAATATATTTAGATTACAGAACGTCACTGATAACGAGGGGTCAATGTGCGTTTCCCGAGTCGCAGACGTCAAAACTAATTTTGGCGCCTGGTGAAAATAGTCATTTATTAGCAGATAAGTCAGCAAGCCATACGATGCTAAACTGAATAAGATCAATATCAACCAAATGGCCATGGTGAACTTTGATCGAGATGCGCTGAGAAAAGAACTTCCATGTAGATCCAAACCATTGACCCATTTTCTTATGCTCTGGCGATTTCGTTTGCTCAAGATAGTGTCTGAATCAGACGCGGGAAGAAGTTCACGTCTGGTATTGTTTGATTTCTGTTCAGTTAAATCACCCATTGATGAAAAATAACGATCACATTTCTCTTTCCATTTTTCTTCTCCCAGCATCTTTACATCACGCATCTTAGACAGAGTCTGATGTCCTATTGTTTCTATGGTAATTGCTGTTTTGATTGGACTAGGTCTTTCTCTAAGCTAAATTCTTGTTGTTTTTTTTGGTGGGAATATATCTTCTTACAATTTAGTTTTTCACTGTTGTTCAGTTGTCACTGATTTCTCACTAGATTGTCTGGAAGTTAAACTTCCATAACATCACAGTATATGGTCTGGAGTAACAACTTGGTTCGACTTTGACATGTAGGATATTAAAAATCTGAACTTATCCTCTTTATGGTCACGTATAAAGATTCGGACTTTAAGCAAAATACCAAATAATATATTACCACTGTAGCATCAAAAATCCCTTTTTTAAAAATCAAAATCAACTCCAACAACAACTGCTCCAAACTCTTTTTTTATGTTGATGATCACTTCAAAATTCTCTTTTTAATGAATAATGCAACTTCAACTACAATTGTTCCTTTCTCTCATGTAGACGTTCACTTCCTGAGAGTCCAAATAATTTTCCTGTGTTTGAACACGCCACACGCTAACCAAAATTCAACTTCAACTTCTCTTGATATGATTGGTGCCCACTTCCAAAATATACCGATGAAGTAGATTCCAAAATAAAGGCTCTCACTCCCAAGTCTCCAAAAAGAGAAAACAAAAATCACAAATTATAAACAAGAGTTCCTCGGATCCATCAAATTGTTCGTGTTTTCAGAGACTGTTCAGATGTAAAAACGTAATAAGGATTTGACTCGGAAGTTTGGTTTGGTACCTGCTTCCATGAAATTGATATCGAAGGCTTTGAGGAAATAGCGACGTGCTCTTATGACCCCCTCTCTGTATGCGTGTGTGTTATAACGTGCTCATTCCCCACAATATTTACATGTCTATTGACAACCACTGTCATATACTTTGTGTCAAATGGATAATCCCATTATGATAATCTCTCTTTAGTCCGGATTAATTAACAGATTGGATTAAGATTATCCAGATTAAGATAAATGGTTTAAGTGATTTGATTAACTTGTTGAATGATTGAAACATTAGAAACGATTCAAGGTCAACAAGCTAAAATGAACATCTTACATTTGTAAATAGTAAAAACGTTAAATTCCAATAAACAACAGCCTTGGAATTAAGTTTATGAGGGCCTCTCCCGGAAAATTTTAATATATGAGGGCCCTCATATTCAATCATAGCTGATTTAGGGCCTCATGTTTCTAAAGAAGGATATGATATTGCCTTGGATAGAGCCTAATCATAAGTTCTGAACTATTTTAGATACCTTTTTTTTAGATAATTTTGAATTTTTTCTAGGGTTGGGGACCCCTTAGAGGTTGGGGCCCATTGACTTGGTTCAACCAGTTCCTATGATAGTTGTGAACCACTGACAAAGGCTCTTCGTCAAGTTACCAAAACGTACAGAGCGTTGTTTTGTTTTTTTTTCTGAATGAGTTTTTTGCAGTCAAGTTTCTTATGAAGACTAGCGACGTCATGCAGTGTGCAGCGAGGTAAACATGCAGAAAGGACAGAAACATGATCTCGATTTATTGTCCTATCCGATCGATATGAGGGTTTGAGGACTTCCATGTGAGAGCCTCTTTGACCGAGGGCAACACGACAGTAATCGAAACGTAGTAGGGTCCTATAGGCTTATAGTAATCTCTTTGTGATAACTAAATAGGGCTAAAAATCCATAATAATAAACCAATCTTAAGTTTAGATTATTGTAAGATTTGTTCTGTTTGAACGATGTTTACTTAATAACATACAGAATAACAACAAAACAGTGTCAAAAAATAAATTCCTTAAGCATTCTTATTAAGATGAAGATTTAAATTTTCGTTTCTGGCTTCAGACGACAATAAAAACGGACCAGAGCAAATCCTATCCAAATCCAATCCAAATTCAATTTTCTGCTTACATGATGTATCCTCAAACTCAACCTGAACACCTCCGTAAGCGCAACGGATGACTCAGTGGTCGATGTTTTGCGTCTGCTAACGGATACGCACATCTGGTACGGTGCCCAAATGTAGAAATCCCCTTCAAGATATCATTACTGTGGGGGACGAATTATCGTGTACGGATACACATGTAATCACGTTTTGAATTTGAGTTTGAGCTTGAGTTCCACCAAAATCAAGAGATGAAAAGAAAGTACCACGATGTATTATTTAGTATTTTATTATGGTTATAGTTTCTTTTTACAATATATATTTACAGTAGTAAGAATTTGATCATAACATTAAAATCATCACTTTCATAACAAGCACTTTAAATTTTATTACAGAATAGTCCGGTATAGCTCGACACATCTGGACATATCAGTTTCTCAGACGTTATATACGGATGGGAAATCGACATCTGACTGGAAGAGCTAAATTTGTCTAGCAAGTTCGGGTTAAGAGATTTATGTACCTTCTAGGGATAACTCAAAACATAAACACAAGCAGTTAAATCTAATTTAAGGTAGTTTAACTATAGTGCAGCAAATATAAGATTGTGCAGAACCAAGGACAATTCAAAACGAATCCATTTTATTCTAGGTAATGTAAGCAATAATAAATACAATCTAGTTCCTGAAATATGAATGCATTTACCATTTATTTTACCGCTAAATAAAGTGGACTGCTCTGGTTATGATTTGAATTGACCAGTGTGCATTAATACCGGTGTTAGACCACAGGCCCTCAAGTTCTGTCAATATTAATGTCAATGGTCAAAGTAAAGAAAATAGTGTCAAGGCATATAAAAAAAGATATATGTTGACACTATTTCTCCAAATTGCCCATATTTTATTAATATTGACAGAGCTTCTGTGGTTAGACTATAGTTATAAGCACACAGATCATAAAATATATCAATTAATCTTTATCATATCAAAAGAAAATTCACTGCTTGTGTTTTCTGGACGGATTTTAAAACGGTTTTCTAAATTTTGGAAGGGGCTTATGTGATAAGGCATATTTTGCAACTTTCAGTGAAATGCAGGAACCAAAGAAGTCTGATTGAAAACTGGAATGGTCAAAGTTTCCTTGATACACAAACAAAATTTAGAAAACCTCTTTAGAATCCTTTAACAGATGTACATGTACATAAACAAATCATAGAGCACTCATTTACATAATACTGTAAACAATGTTTCAACAATTTACACTTCTATCATCAGTTTAATTTAAAGAGAGTTCAGATTGATCTTCCAACTGTCAGCACCCGCAAGATTCTGTTCAATGGCTGGAACTCTTCAACAAAAAAAAATCACAGTTGCTGCCAATTGCTCATGTTTTATTTCATATATTGTAAACATTAAATCTCCTCATCAGATCAATATCTGACTTCATCACAGGACAGACCCTCCCAAGTGGCTTGATTATATAAGATCAGCAATTGTTTGAAATCTGAACCTTGATCTTCCATCATAGTCTAATCAAATTTAGACCAAACTTTCTATCTGTTTCTTTTTTTTCATTAGATTTAACTTTTAATACAGCCACTTCAGTTAGGGTATAGAGACAAAATTAACTTATTAACACAATGATGTCTGCTTCAACCAAATTATTTTGGCATTTTGTTCGGGACTGTTGTTTAACCCTAACTGAAGTGGCTACATTAAAAATGTAGTTAATGAAACAAACAGAACAAAATTTTGGTCTAATTTTAATTAGACTGTCTTTCAAGTTTTGTTATTAATATATTTAGATGACAAGGAGTAATGTAGAAATGAAGATGATAAAGATTATTTACAAGTTATCTACATACATACAATTATACTATCTAACACAACAAATACACACTAGATGATATGGCATTGAATGATTGCTTGCTTGAACTGAAGTTAACTCCCTTTTTTCCAAACCAACTGTCCTGATGAGGAATATATGCAAGGACAGCAAGGGATGAGCTCCTGTCAATAAGAATTAACGATAAAGATTTCGAATGGTATTAAGGACACTGTATATTGAACAAGAACACAAGGCATATTACAGCTATATATAGAGTGCACTGCTCCTATGATCATGTAGTTTGTGATATCAGCATCTGCTGAAAGCGAACGTTAACTTGTTATCTACCTACCTACCTACACTTATGATCATGGTTTGATTTGTCCCAGAGACATCAACAAATATTTCTAGTACACTTCATCTTCTTTCAGATCTATACACAGCATTTTTTGTTTGAAATGATTTAATTGGAAAAACTGTCCAGAACATTATGAAATTATATGAGAAAACTGAAATTACTCATGTCATCAATTTAATTGTCAGGAGCTTGTTGAGTAAATTTACAATGTTACAGTTGATTCAGCTGCCTTCAATTGATTTCATTGTTTCTAGTATAGCCTCCTATCATTATACACAGAATCTGATTGCGTGTCTTATATACCATTTAAATTTTACTATCACTTCCTTTCATGTATTTAACAAATTCCTCCATTTGAATTCCTAAACCTTAAAACAATGTTCCATGGGCATTGTAAATTAATGCTGGAAAAGATAACTGATATATTTCTGAATTCTAAATTGTTTCTGTGGTTAGCACATTAATAGAAAAAACGGAAACCAAAAAACGACTTGAAGCAAATCTCACAGAAACTGAACATCTAAATCTTCCAAATTTTAAAAACAAATCTATTATAGCACTCTTGTCCAAAACCTCAATTCTAAATGAAAACTATATCCATTAGTCCAAAAGATATGAATTTGTCAATAATCTTGAGTCACTGAAGAAATGAATTGGAGTTTTCCATCTTATTATCACATAAGAAAATGAAATGAAATGGAATTTAATGTCATATTATCACAAGAGAGACCATCTTTAAATTCTTGATCCTTATAATTGACTTGAAGATTGATAAACATGGCTGCCACGAAATTCATTCGCTGTCGTCTTCAATAGCAGGGGCAGCTTTTTTACGTTTCTTCGCTTTCGGTTTCATTTCTTCATCCTGAAAAACCAATAATAATTTTCATTATAAGCATTGATGTATTTGATTAACATGTCTAATGTATTCATACCATTACTGCTGCAGAGGATCCATCATTATCTGTCAATACATCGTCCCCCTCTCTCTCTACACCACTTCAATACATTCAAATCTATTTCATATTTCTACCCTGGTTCACTTCAGCAGTTAAGTTGAGACAGAAATAATAAATATTCATGATGTAACTTAATTCTTAAACTGGCTAATCAACATGCTTTAAGTTTTGTAAAAACAAACACATCCACAAAAGTTGTAAAAAAGATCATTTAAATTGGTTAAAATTACTGCTTTATACAAATCTGTTTAGATAAAGTGAACAAGGGTCCCATCTATTATCCACTAGGGGTGTTTTAAAATGGCTTCCGCAAGCTTCGCTACCCCAGAAATGTTTATTTTTACCTCAGTGCTCTCCGATTCGCTTTCACTCTCCTCTTGCGTGACTTTTTTACTCCTGGAAACTTTTGGACTGACATTAGAGGCTTTACGACCTCGTAGCACCCTGGTTCGTTTTAAATCTTCAATATCTTCTGCTAGAGCTAACAGGTCTGAATATCTGAAATGATTGGTAGGGTGTAAAATAAGGAATGGACTGGGATATGGTCATTAATACTGTCATTTCGGAATCAAAATTTCTTGTCATTTCACAAAGTTTCAAAAATAATTTCTAACCATTGGCAGGGTCAGCCTCCAGCCTCCAGGAATCGTGAGAGAAGATTTAATGATGAGACATGTGTAGGGGTTCAGTATCTAAATACAGTAATGTTAGTACTATAAGTCTCATCCACCTGTATAATGTTGTATGTGAGTTAGTGTAGAACTCTATCAATGGATGAGGTTAAATCATGAAGTTCGTAATTCAAAATTCAATTACAATGAAATAAAATAGAAGGTGAGCTTCTGTAGAAATTTACAGGGTTTAAATCAACTTACTTTGTTTTCTGAGCTTCACCAGCTGTTTGTTGAACCTGTTGTAGAGCTATCTGTATACTTTCATGGTTTAAAACTAAAATAAAACAGTCAACATGGTAACATTTCATCAAATAATGAGGAGTGCCTGATTGGGTTAATAATCCTAGAAGTTCCATGCAGTCTAAGATTAGGGGGGTTTTTGTCAGGAGAGGTAACTGCATAGGGATTTCTAATAAACATGGCCCCATTCATTTGTTCCATATGGAGTTTTTTCAGAAGTTTTAATAATTCTATTCACCCTAGTAGTAATCTTGGTGATTAGGTGCCATGGGTTCAAATCCTCATCAAGGTAAGAATTATTCTAATACCACAGTCTGTGCTTACGAGAGTTGGCCTGGTGTTAAGTACTGAAGATACTGAATATAACTCACATGATATATTTCTGCAAACTTGTCTAAAGTGATCTAAATGGCCTAGTATTTGATCTAAGTTAGGATTTTCTTTCTGTTTCGCTGCATTACCAGTTCTATAATATATAACAATTATACTTCACTTACCACTCTCGTTATTGTTATTGTTTCATCTAGAGGACTAGAATTTATTTCCATTTCACTCTCTCTATGGGTGGTAGGGGTTTGTTTTCCAATTTTCTACGGCATTTGTCATACTTTTTGAACTTATCTAAAGTCACTAAGTTGGAAAAGTGTTATTTGATCTCTTCAGTTGAGCGAGTCAGAAATTAATTCAGAAAAAATATCACATAATAAAAACTACTGTAATTTTGATACAAACCTCTGTCGTTTTTTAGGAGAATTGTTAACTTTTGATAATTGTTGATAAATTATTTCAGCCAGTCGGTCTTCGTGTTCCTGCGCCCAGTATTTTAATATAGAGGGAGTAAACAGGTCAGTTTTTTTACATTCACGACACAAAATAGGTCTTAACAGATCAGTCGTTGGACTGAAAAAGATTTTAAATATATCATCAGGGTGGTCTCAGGTGACTGAAGAGGTCCCTTACATCATTAAAGTCAATTCTCTTGCCACATGAGGAATGTAATGTTTAAGGGATTGTAAAGAGTTTTCTAAATTTTGTATTGTATGAAAGACATTGATAGCAGTGAATTGCACCATTTCAATTTCTAGTTTGATGTCTGTGGATCTTTCACCCCACTACTACTAATCTGGTAATATAATATCTAAGGGCCTAGTGATAAGTGTCTCCATAAACACAAAGTTTAAGTAGAATTGCACATGACCCATGACTGATGTCCCAATAAAGATTAAAAGTCAATAAAAACTTTTCACAACTTTTTTAGTCTTAGAATTCTAAATAAGATAAGATTTAGATTATCTTTGGTTAAAGTTGCTTATCTTTCAACCGAAAACTTGACAAGCTGTATGTTTAGCTCATTAAAGGTTCATCTTATAACAATAACATTCGTAAGAACAATACTGACATGAAATTGTAAATATAGCATCTTTAAAACATGCATTGTACTGTACAATGAGGAAATTTTTCAATAGCATTACCCTTGTGAACAACATCAAAAATATATAAATGAAATCTACCTTTCTTGTTTTAATAAAACCAGCATGCTGGTCAGGGCTTCAGCGTGGGCTAGAACATAATTAATAAATATCAACAAGGAGATATGTAGGCATAAACACCCCTAATTGTACAAATCAGCTCTTCCAATCATTCATATAATATACTATTATAGTCTCATATTGATATAAAGTGTGCATCTGTGGAAGAGTTCACTAAAAGATTAAAGGAGGATCAGATAGATGCTTACAATTAAGTTTTGTACACATTTTGCTCCTAATTTCAAATGTTCCATAGAATTTTCTGTCTGATTAGAGCTTCCAAATGGTTAGCTGAAAGTTTGGCCTTGATATCTTGATAATTTTTAATCTGAACACACTGGAAACACCCAATATTACTTACTTGTAAAATCTAATTTAGGTAAAATTGATAAAATATGTTCTACTGGAATATTATGAGATGAAATCAGCTGCCATAAAAAATATTGTTCTATAGTCTCCCACTCTAAACTTTCATCTAAAAATATAAATCAATATACAACAGTTACTGTACAGCTAGAGAAAATGAAAATAAAATTACAAATCTCGCTCAAGGAAATGTAATTTTACTATTTCCTATTATTTATGGATCTATTCATGCCATGTGTTCATTCAATGTTTCATGTTTAATGTTCTGTACACCTATTTACTGATTTGTACAAATGTAAACAATGTTTAGGAATAAAAGGTACCAATCTCTACCTACACCACTAAATGAGAACTGCTCAAATCCTAATGAAGAAGGGACAAAAAAAGAAAACCCACATTAAATTAAGAAATAAAACCTACTGAGAACAGAGAGAAAAGTTTCTTTATTTTTAAACATAACAAGATGACCCTGTAATATTTGACAGATCAGATCCTGTAGCTGAAAATAGAAAACATCAACCCTTGTTAATTTTCTAAAATAAATTATAATTGCAGAATAACAAATAGTATAGGATATAATATTGTAAATTATATTCCAGTCACCTGGGATACACATATACATAGGCTAAAAAATTTTTTATAAATCCCTTCTGTGAATAGCAATATCACAAGAACTGTGAAAGTTGAGTGAAAATAAAAACATGTATTGACAAATCAGAAGAAAGTTGATTCTTATATTTTGCACAATTTCACCAGAATAAATGAAACTATTTAAGGATTGCACTTTGAGTCACAATAAATCTTTACTTTGTAATCAAGGCAAGTGCTTGAATCGCTGTGTTTTCATCGCTATCTAATAATAAATCTATAATAGAAACTCTGTACTTACTTGTGTACCATCTATAGATGAAGTTATCATATGAAATAACGTAGCATTTCCTACTGCTATACCAGGGAACTGTATAAACAAACAAAAATAAAGTAGATTGTTAAATTTGGATTTTATTAAAAATATCTAATTATTGCGATAGTGATGTCATAATACACATGGTTTCAGTAAAATTGTATGAGTGACAGATGTCTGATTGAAAATTGGAAGCATAAAAAAGCAGATTGTCGGTAATTTAATTATATAAGTTCGATAACCTGAACTGAATTGTAAGATAAGGTAAAAACATAACTTACATGTGTATAGATATCAGGTATTGTAAGATAAAGATATTGTAAGCTAACTTACATGTGTATAGATATCAGGTATTGTAAGATAGAGATATTGTAAACTAACTTACATGTGTATAGATATCAGGTATTGTAAGATAAAGATATTGTAAACTAACTTACATGTGTATAGATATCAGGTATTGTAAGATAAAGATATTGTAAACTAACTTACATGTGTATAGATATCAGGTATTGTAAGATAAAGATATTGTAAACTAACTTACATGTGTATAGATATCAGGTATTGTAAGATAAAGATATTGTAAACTAACTTACATGTGTATAGATATCAGGTATTGTAAGATAAAGATATTGTAAACTAACTTACATGTGTATAGACATCAGGTATTGTAAGATAAAGATATTGTAAACTAACTTACATGTGTATAGACATCAGGTATTGTAAGATAAAGATATTGTAAACTAACTTACATGTGTATAGACATCAGGTATTGTAAGATAAAGATATTGTAAACTAACTTACATGTGTATAGACATCAGGTATTGTAAGATAAAGATATTGTAAACTAACTTACATGTGTATCGACATCAGGTATTGTAAGATAAAGATATTGTAAACTAACTTACATGTGTATCGACATCAGGTATTGTAAGATAAAGATATTGTAAACTAACTTACATGTGTATAGATATCAGGTATTGTAAGATAGAGATATTGTAAACTAACTTACATGTGTATAGATATCAGATATTGTAAGATAAAGATATTGTAAGCTAACTTACATGTGTATAGATATCAGGTATTGTAAGATAAAGATATTGTAAACTAACTTACATGTGTATAGATATCAGGTATTGTAAGATAGAGATATTGTAAACTAACTTACATGTGTATAGATATCAGGTATTGTAAGATAAAGATATTGTAAACTAACTTACATATTGTAAACTAACTTACATGTGTATAGATATCAGGTATTGTAAGATAAAGATATTGTAAACTAACTTACATGTGTATAGATATCAGATATTGTAAGATAGAGATATTGTAAACTAACTTACATGTGTATAGATATCAGGTATTGTAAGATAAAGATATTGTAAACTAACTTACATGTGTATAGACAACAGGTATTGTAAGATAAAGATATTGTAAACTAACTTACATGTGTATAGATATCAGGTATTGTAAGATAAAGATATTGTAAACTAACTTACATGTGTATAGACATCAGATATTCTAAGATAAAGATATTGTAAACTAACTTACATGTGTATAGATATCAGATATTGTAAGATAGAGATATTGTAAACTAACTTACATGTGTATAGACATCAGGTATTGTAAGATAAAGATATTGTAAACTAACTTACATGTGTATAGACAACAGGTATTGTAAGATAGAGATATTGTAAACTAACTTACATGTGTATAGATATCAGATATTGTAAGATAGAGATATTGTAAACTAACTTACATGTGTATAGATATCAGATATTGTAAGATAAAGATATTGTAAACTAACTTACATGTGTATAGATATCAGATATTGTAAGATAAAGATATTGTAAACTAACTTACATGTGTATAGACATCAGGTATTGTAAGATAGAGATATTGTAAACTAACTTACATGTGTATAGATATCAGGTATTGTAAGATAAAGATATTGTAAACTGACT